TTAAATAGCACTGTTACCATACCATATTCCCCAGCTAAGTGCATGGTCTCTCTATTGTTATATGCTCAGCTGAGAGAGCAAGCAGTGTTTTTACTGTCATGTGCATATCTGAGGAATTTTAAAGTGTCAGTAGGCAGAATTAAATCTGTCACTTCTACTGTATGTATGCACCTCACGCCAGCAAATACAATGGAATATTGTGCATCAGGACGCATATTGTTGAAGTCTGATATCTGCTGTGTACATTATCAGTGTTGCTTTGCATTCAGCTTCTCAATTTTTTGAATGTCATAGCATAAATGCAGAGAAAACCATATTGACTCAGATATGAGACACCTTCCTTATGTAAACAGGACTGCAGCAAAAATGTGTATAGTATACATATATACAGAGTGCATATAGTAGGTATTCAGTATAAGTGCCAAAATGGTAATGGACAGTTAATATGTTAATAATAGCTCCTTAATCCTCCTGTGCACATACACCCACAGACTGCAGGGCCCCTCTTTATCAGTGCTGCTCGCACTGGCAACGACACATGCATTGCCAAGCCTGCCAGGCTACGGCCATGCTAATGTAACCCGTTAGTCTAACAAAGGCTCAGGTCAATGGAGCCTCCAGTGGCTAATTGCTTCAGAGAGATAAGTGAGTTTGACGACGCAGCAAGGGACGGCTCAGCGAAAGGAAGCAGCGAGGGAGAAGATGTTAATGTCTCCCCCCGTTCACTCCACCGTCAATATCGGCCAGTCGCAGGCCTGCCACAAAATGAATATTAAAGACGCTTTTGATTGTTTGTCCTCTCTTTTTTCCTGGTTTCATAGAATTTTAATGGGCTATGTTAGGGTGTTTTGTCACATTTTCTATGCTGGGTAAGAGACTGGAGATAATGCAATTAATCCCCATACCATCACCTGACAGCCAACCAGCTGTGGTGGCCAATAAAAACCACGTGACGGCTATTGCTGTTGCACTATTCTAACATCCTGCCCCATGATTCAAAATGAAGGCAAATTACTACATTGTGCTCTCAAGTGAGCTCAGCGATAATAAAAGGCCTGAATGCAATTAGATGTGGTGTGAATAATATGGTTTTGGGCTAAAATGATTTGCTCTCTTAAAGGAAACACTTTGGCCCGGGTTGATTTGTTCCATCTGAAGTGACAGTGACGAGACCAGCGAGTCCCATCCAGCAACAATAAAACCAATCAGATCTTCTTCATCTGCTAATCTGCCTCTGACTTATATTAAATCAGTGTCACTTTCAGACAGCGAGGCTTTCCAGCCTCTTCCTCCTGCAACAGCGAACTCTTCTTTTCCTACAACCGAGTCAAGTTCACCTGCCTCTCACCGACTCACTTCATCTGAAGATTACAGCTCTCACGTAAAATGAATCCTGAACCCATATTTGTCAGACGTGGCTGGAGGCTAATGCAAATTGGACTTGACAAAGTATGATGAATAAGACAAAAGCTTTTCATCCATTTTTTTTCCCCTCGTTAGATAATGATTGCACAAATTTTCAACAAGTGTGACGATGGACTTTTTGGTGTTTGGTTTGATGATGTATGCATCCTCTCTGGAGCTGACCAACCAGACTTCACACATGAACAAATAAATACTTAAAAGTCTCCTCAGACTCTCCCCCACTTCTCAAAACACTACAGCTGTACCTCTTTATCTCTTGTAGGTATCTTGTCATTCTTCTGTTTTCCATTTTTACTCCAGCTATCTATCCTCTCATTAGTATGATATTCTGCAGTCTTTTCTTCCATGCTGCTTGTTTGCTTCTAAGGATCCTACCCTCTGGGTCCCACCAGTTGCTAACCCATGGAGATGAAAGCTTCCAGTCTCAACGGGGTGTTTGAGGTTAGACCCCCACTGACACACTAAGACACATCCCCTTCCAGTTAAAAACAAGATTATTTTTCACACTAGATAATGTGTTGTAAGCACAGTTTATACATAGAATACATTTCTTTCATCATTTTTTAAAAGCTAGCTAGCAACAAAGGTTTTGGAAGCAGGGTTTAAGCTTTTTTTAAAAACAAAGAATGGATAATGTATATAGCCTTGCATAGACATTGATGTCTGCTAAATTTGCATTCAGTGTAGCATCATTAAAGGTGAAAATGGTAATATAAATTCTTCCAAGATACCTCAAGGGTTCTTAGTGGGTTTTTTAGACTTACTTCTTATAAACTATCACAAGTGGAGTGTTGTGCAGAGTAGTGTGTGGCTTCTTTGCTGCAGAGTTGGCTGTCCAGCACAGCAATAGTAAAAGTACATACGGTGCACTCTGCTGATTTTCTCGTTAAATACTGGTGACCTGGGACGAGGTTTGAATCTGTCCCTGGCAGCTCTTTTTTTGTCTTTCTAAACACAGTTGAAACTGAAGGTGGAGCTGGAGCGTCAAACCCCAGCCACCGGGGAGCGGCGCAAATAGTCCTCAAATATTGATTCTGCTGCAGAGAGCCATGTAGGACGAAGGGGAGCAAGGCGCCAGGCTCATCTACAGAACATGAATTCTCTGAGGGAGGGAAAGAGAGAGTGGGAAGGAGGGGCGAATGGGAAACAGATCCACCATATAGTTTGATGTTGCACAGATCTCAAGACCTTTCCATTACCTTCTGGTTGCTGTAATTAAGGCTCGCCACTTTCTCTGCGAATTCCAGCTCTCCCACGCCCATGTGCGTATGCATGAAACGGAAAAAAGTTTAAAAAAGAATGAGCTCATGTGGACGTAGGTGTTTTTGCTTGAGCGTGAATGCGGTTACAGGATGCCATCATATTTCCCTCTCCAAAGGACCATTGTTGCTGATACGCCGCTCGTGGAAAGAGGGCAGTTTGGTGTGACTGGCCTAACTGCAGTGCTGCATCGTAAGCCTAAAAATATTCCATGTCAGTGTTCCCGAGAGGAGCCCAGTGCTATCCAGGCCTCTCAGTAATGAGAGAGTGGAACTGCCTGCAACCGGTAGCCCTGCTGTCCCCAAGCTCCCTCTGGCTCAGAGCTCGGCATTGGAGCCGGAGAGTTAGCTGCTCAGCTCCCACAAATTTATCATAGCTCACAAGGCAGCATGTCTGAAAGCAGAGGCTCTCATTCACAGAGGAGCAGCCCCCACCAGGCTCACCCTTGGGCACACTAACCCAAGACATTCACAAATCAGAGAGGCAGAATGATGCAGTTTCAAAAACACTTTCTTTTGGTTGTGTGTCCACAAGAGGGTGGGGGGGGGGGGGGTTATGATTTGGAAAGCATCAGTGCAAAAAGCTGCAAACGAACAGCTGAGAAATTAAGATACAGTGCGTGGGGTAGATTGCGTGAAAACTTTCATCTGTGCCATCATTTGTTTCAGAGACATTACAGTGGGAAAAAAGAGAGAAAGAGAGGGCACAAGAGAAGGAGAGAAAGATTCAAAGAAAGGGGGAGTGGAATGGGGGAGAATGGACAAAGATAATGGAGAGATTTATGATGTTTGTACAGGGCGCGATGCTACTGCACTCAGGGCTGTAATGATCGAGCCTTGTACAGAAAAAAAACATGTTTGCAAAATGTTGAACTGCCATTATCTGTGGCAATTATTTCAGTATGTCTCACCCGAGCTTTGATACGGAGGGTAATTCTGGAGAAAATCAATCCGGTCGTTAAGTGATGACGTGACGAATCCTACTTCCGGGTCTAAAGTAGTCTGCGTTTAATATGGCTTTTGTGTTGTTAACATGTTTAATGTTTTGTATTTTCTTCTATTTGATCTCAAAAAGCTCCTAAAACAGTCAGTGATCACTGTTGACCTCCCTCGGCTTTTATTACCACTAATCATTTATTTAAGCTCAGTTTTTAAAACCTTAGGATGTAACTACAGCCCAGCCCATGCAGCAGTATATGAATGACTAACCTCGTATTGTGGATGGATTATCTCAGTTGTTCTCCTGGCTGAAGTTTGGTCCTTTTACAGCATCCTGCCATGCGATTACATTTGTTCCTGACCACCGAGAACACTCACGTTAACTTTTATCGAGTGGAAAAAAAGTTAGCTTGTTTATATTATGCTAACATAGCTGTGTCGCTAGCGGTCACGTAGCACATCATTATATACCAGCTAGCCCAACTTCAGTAACCCTACAAACGTCACTGCTGTTTAGTTTTCTGTCTTCATTTATGTTGGAAGTGATAACAGAGCTGTACGTTTTAATTTGTTTCCAAAACCCCGCAGTCAGGACATGCTATATTGTATTTAGATAGAAGCTAGCGAGCTAACTCCTGCTAACTTCTAACTCCGTTAAATGTCTGTGGAACAGTTTACCTCTACAACTACGTTTGGTTGAATCTGTGGAATCCTTTAAAAAAAACAGTTAAAAACTTTACTGTTTAAACAAGCTTTCTGTTAAATGGTAAAATGGTAAATGGCCTGTATTTATATAGCGCTTTTACTAGTCCCTAAGGACCCCAAAGCGCTTTACATATCCAGTCATCCACCCATTCACACACACATTCACACACTGGTGATGGCAAGCTACATTGTAGCCACAGCCACCCTGGGGCGCACTGACAGAGGCGAGGCTGCCGGACACTGGCGCCACCGGGCCCTCTGACCACCACCAGTGTTGACCAATGCTTTTTTACATTTTTATATTTTTAATTTACATTTAAACTCTATATTGTGTATATCATGCATTTGCTAATTATCGTATTGTTTATTTTAATCTCTGTGTGCAGCGCTTTGTGACTACCTGTCTATGAAAAGCGCTTAATAAATAAACTTTACTTACTTTACTTATGTCATAAATTCCGTTTTCATGGATGCCTGGATGTTAAACTCAATTGTTACACCTGGTAGAGCAGAACGCTGATCATTTTATTAAAGATGAAAGACTTTAGACAGTTTTTCAACTCTCAGTAATGCCATAGTGATCGTTTGATATATGGACCTGCAGCGGAGTTTAGGCCCAGACACGGCTTGTGACGTCAGACTTAACGACCGGATAGGCAACGTGCGCGCAAAAAAACTAACGCGTCTAATAAAAAGAAGCTAAAAAGAAACCTCATCGTGCGGTGGGTTTGTATCTGTGGTGCTTTTAAAGATTAAGAACCAGAATATTTGGAAAACATTTTCAGCAAGGAAAAAAAAAGAAGGAAGAAAGAAATAACAACATTAGAACAGGTCACACTTGTTTGAGCATTTATGGTCCTCCTTTCAACAGTCAAAATAAGAGATGTCGCAGTACCGAATAAAACAGATCAAAGCTATATAACTCTGAAGGCCGAGCCTGGAAAATTTCTCTGGGCAAAAAAATGAGACGGATGAATCACACTTTAATAGTTCATATTGTACCAAGCTGTATGTAAGTGAAGCTCGACAGTCTGAGCCTTTTTTTTTAAACAAATAACTACTCAGAATGAGTGAGGTGTGATATACATATTTATCTACTTCAAGTGTCAGACACTTTACAAAATGCTCACCTTCAGTTTCATGTGACATCCACAGCAAAAAGATGGGAGATATCTAGAAAAACAAAACATTCCCAAACGGCTTCGACTAGTGCAAATATCTTACATGAATTTTTAATATGTTGTTATGATCCTATTGCAATTCCTAATTAGAACTGCAAAATGACTCCCGCAAAACAGTCTTTGTGGTAGTGACTTGACCCACAAGAGCCGTTTAAATCTAATTTGCTATTTGCTAGTTATAAGCTGCTAAATCTCATGTACCCATCCAGACTGCCGCCAGTGTTTCCAGTATATGTTCAACAGGTTTGAACCGTGTCCAGCAACACTCTCAGCGCCGCCTCTAGTTCACATCTTACGCTCGTCCCAGTAAGCTTTGTTGAAATATATACTTTGAAATGCTTAATTGGAGTTTGAAATCAAACGTTTCTGATTAATCCAAACTGTTCATTATTGGAAAAAAAGAGTCACCTTATTGTCCACTGGTACCCTGATTGTAGTCCATTGGTCTCAACAACCAGCATATTACATATGCTGTACACGTGGCTCCATGTTGCCAAGTGAACATAGTTTGTGATGAGTATGTTTGATCCCATTATTTTGTGATGGATATCTTGACAGCAGTCCTTTCCTTTCCCGCATCTTACAGTAAATACAATATGTGTGAGTCATCCATCCTTTCCACATGGAAAGCTTCATGTTTCCTCATGGCTCGGTGGCTCTCTTGCTATCGGGTGACCTAAAAAGAAAAAAAAGAGAGAGAAGAGAAGAGAATCAGGGTCGCAGAGACATCTAATCACATGAAGTGCTTCACAGTGGCTGAACAAATGTTTCTATTTGAAAGAGACAATCGGATGTCAGGGGTGAATATTTAAAGTCAAACAATTTCCTTTGTATTTCAGCCTCTGTGTCCTTTTCATTGGACCAAAAGAGCTTGTTGGCAGTCTAGCCGGTGGTCTGATTGCAAGAACCAACAGTGTCTCAACTGGTTAAGCTGAATTTCACATGTCTTGGAGCTGCAATGGTTTGTTTACACTTGAACAGAGAGCTGAAGGAGTGTAATTGCAGATGTAAAGAACTTGTTTCCCAGCAAACCCAGTGCGGTGTGTGTTTATGCTGTATAATGACCAGATATGTTCATGCATAAAATATTAATTCTGCTTGTTCCACTCCTGCAAATAAAACTACATTAAGTAAGAATGAAAATACAGATCTCATGGTGTGGTGGTTTTGCTGTTTCTTGTTAAATGATGATGCCTCAGTCAGGCAATCTATGCATCTTTCTACAACACACCTACGCCGTGTGGGAGTGAAAGAAAGATTGACATATACTGATCATCATGGTGAATAATATGCTGAGGTGGTACAAGGAGGTCAGAGGAAGAAAGAGAGACCCAGTGTAAAGAGCAGAGCTGCAGAGAAAGTAAGAGAGCAAGGCCGTGTGAGCAGTTGCCAAGGAATCGATGTCTCATTGCAACTATCTACAGTGACATCTGCCACCAAGTCTCCAAGTAACTGCTCGCCAGTCCCAAAGCACCTTGCAAATTCACAATTAATGTCCACTGATGCAGTTAGCTTAAAGGCCTCATCAGACAAGGTAGGAGGGACAAAAAGGAGAGGAAGGGAGTGAAGAAGAAGAGAGACGGCAACGTGCAACAAAACAGGGATAATTGCACCTATCAGTCCCAGAGTTGGTGTTAGGCCCAGGGTCATTAATTCCACTGCCTGTGACTGAGCTCGGCAGTGCCTCTGTTCCTCAGTCTACCCCACTCACCAATTTAATTACGACTCTTAATTGTGAAGCCTCTGTGGAAGGCCCCAGCCATAATGCATTCTAATGAATGCGACAGATGTTGTTCTGTTATGCCATCTCTTGAGCAATTAGTCTTATGGCGCCTGCGCCGCTTTCCCGTCCAACTGTTTCTCTTTTTATATTTCACCTGTAAATAAACACCTGCTCCATCCCACGGCACGCACTCTGGCGCATGCACACACACTGCCTGGTCGTCAGACCCACAAATTAACTTTCACACTTCAGCAGATTACAAAGGGCCATGAAGGGCCCTCATTTAAATCAATTTATCTCATATGAATAGCATCAGTTTACTCGACATCACATGGCGGTTGTGTGGGTTAGACTGTACAGAGGTCTCGGGTTTACTGTGATGGTTGTTTTTGTTTTTTGTTCTTTTTGATTCGTCTTACCTGAAGAGATACGGCTACAGGAGCTCCACAAACAATCACCTGGAGGCTTGCCTGTTGATTAGCGCTGTATTTTCTTTGTAATTTATAATGATCTCTGAAATAAGTGATTAAATTAGACTGCAGTCTTCTGTGGGCATTTTGAAGATTCAAACAATCTCTGTTTACAAGATCAACTTTAATTTGCTTGGGAAGCCCTTCTGAGTTCTTTCTTTTCATATACTGGCGTATACAATATGAACACTAGCAAGAGTCATCAAGTTGAAAGTTTGTTTACTCAACACTAATTCAAGCAAGATGTTTCACAGACAAAAGAAATCAATTGAATTGAAGATCAAGGTCATATCTATCTACATCAAATGTTAGTTAGGTTGGTAATACATGCATTTTTTTGTATTTTTTTTTTTTTGGACATCACATGATTCTCGTGGGACTTTTTGATGTGAGCACTGATAATTTTACACGCTTTGTTGTAGCACGCTGATGAAAAGATTTCAAAGGCTACGCTATAATTAGAGTTACACACTGCACGTAGGTCACGTTGCAGAAGCGCAAAAAACACAGGTAAGAAATCCATGAAAAGGAGAAGCGTTGATCAGTGATTTCACATCAGAGAGAGAGAGAGAGAGCAGGCAGGTTTAGACAAACAGACAAATGCATTCTTCTTACTTTGGTGGTTTTGACTTTGTTGCCAGTGCTGCAGGACCAACCGGTCAGGTCAGGAAGGACCTTACACTCCTCCCCATCCATACATGGCTGCATTTGACACCACCACTTCTGGGCTACAATGGACGCTGGAGTAGTGAGCGGATGTTCAGAGAGAAAATTAAAGACGGAGGGTTAGTAAATGGATTATATGACATGAAGAGCAAAAGGCTAGAATAAGGCAAATTTACAACACCAACGTGACCAGCACACCATGCAATAATTAACACTGATCACTGGCAACCACCAGAACCATGGACAGCACACTGTGAATAAAGATTACTGGGGTTTTTTGTATTCATAAGTAGAATGAGAAGAGTTGAGAAGTTCCCTCCTGCAACACTGCTGATGTTCACTTGTTTGTGTTTTGTTTTTGTTTTTTTTTTGCTTCTTGTGCAGATGTGTGAATTTGCATGAGGAGCTGACAGTGACTTCCTGTAATTCAAATGAAATTTCTGCTTATCATTTAATTGCCTTTTGTTACATGCAAAATCAGCAAAACACATTAAGTGAATGGAACCAGCATTATTCATATTGCATAAGACCAAGGGAAAAATAGGATTATGAAGAAGAAATTCTATCAATAAAAAAAGGCTCATTTATTTAAGACAACATGCTGATTCTGAAGTGCTGTATGATTTTTGCAGGGCAAAAAGAGCTCTTTGTACTAAAGCAAACAATTAGAAGCTGTGTTTTATTTACCGACTGCAACAACTTTTATTCTGTTCAAACTAAGAAAAACTTGGACGGCAGGATATGCATGCAGGATCACAAAAACAAAACACTTGTGGAGATTTTATATTTTTTCTAATCGTATTAAACGAAATAATTCTAATTATTAGAATTACCTAAGTTTTGATTAACGGCAGCATCCAGTCAAGGACATATTTGAACCAAATCTAATAACTCAAATCATCCCAGCATGATGATGTTTCAGAGAGCTGCCGCTTTGACAGAACTGCTGTGGCGTTGGGTTCTTTGTTAGCAACTCCTGGATCTGTTAAAAAGCTGTTTTTCTGTGTTTCAGTGAACAAAGCTTGATGCACCCTTCTTCTCTTATTGTAGTCTCGGATGAAAACTGATCACGTTATGGTAAAACACTTTCCCACCGTCATTCCAGCCGTGGTTTGACACTTTTATATGTAGAATAACGGTATGACATCTGACATATTCACTTAGTTCCAGTGCCATGGTTCATATTAATGCAATACTATCTCATGTGGGTGAACAATGAGGTAACATGGTCAATGCCGCACATTCGCTCATATTTGACTGCACATCTATACAGTGCAGAATCTATGTTTTTGTGAATGTCATAATATTATAGTTTTTCAAGCATGTCCTCACACGACTGAAAATGTACCTGACTTGGTAAATATGGTCTTGAGCTACTGGATCCTGTTGCACAGGTAGGAAAGTGGATGCAGTCTGGGCTGAGCTATAGTTTATCCGGTATTAAAAGCTAAAGTTTCCTCCATCTTAGCAGCTGGCACTCAAATCTCACAGATCATTTGACCCCACCTTGTAGACAAGAGACAGAATAAGAGAGAATAACTCAGTCCCCGCTCTCCTAACTCATCATCTGTCCATCCTTTAGTCTCAAAGGTGAATGCAGAAAGAAAAAAAGAATCCCATCTCCCCAACTTCATCATCATTAAGCTGCTGGACTGATGGTGTTTAGAAAGAAATTTTTTTCATATCTGCTGTTTCCAACAAATGAATGAGATAAGCTGGTATTGTGAGGAAAATTGACTTTCAACTGCATAATGCAAAAGAACATGGGCCAATTCTCTCAAGCATTCTGGGAGAAGAAAACAGTGCCACTAAGAGAAAGAGGGAGAGGAGGGCGGGAGGGAGGGAGACAAGACTAAATAATAGCTGTTCACCAAGAAAACATCTTTGTAGTGAGGAAATGAGCAGTGAGAGGAACTCGGGGAGGCAGAGTGAAGGGTGCAAAGGAAAGAGGCCGTTTGAGGATGACTATCACTGATTGTAGTGGTGAAAGGAGCAGATCAAACAAAGAAAACACAGGAAGAGGAGAGTAGCAAATTGAGGCGGAGTGGAAATTGGCGAGAAGCAGAAAGCTAACTTGAAGCTGCCCAGTCAACACAAAAAAACCTCTCGCCGCTATGATGAGGCTAATGTTGAACACACTGTTATGATACATGAGCTCAGTGGCAGTAAGCGGTTCTAAAAACCAATGGCTGTGTAATGATTGTTAATGTGGCCATTACAGTGTCAACGACAGTGCTTTGTACTGCTAGAGTGTTATATAGAGCTACTAGGCATGGCCTTTGAGTGCTATTATGGAGTTAGTGTTTATTGCACCTTATCTCATGCTATTACTAGGAGGGTGGGGCATGACACATAAGAACCTGCCTGTCAAGTGAGAAAATGGACACGAGTTTGTACGTGGCCTGTGATGTCATGGATAATTCAAGTACTGGACGGCATTCAGACAGAGATCTCAACAGGTCAATGGTAAAAAGATTACAGCAATACTGTGCACCAGTTAGTTCTGAAATTATCTCCACTGGAGCCGTATTTTTCCTCGCTGTACTGATGGAGGAAGTTTAGAGGCCAGTAGGAAGCTTTTCAGGTGCGCAACGGTTTGAATGACTGAAATTCAATATTTACATTTAGAAGATTTAGATAGTCATCTTGAATAGTTCACTAATCCACTTATATTAACACTACTGACCCTCGTGAGCCTCTACAGTAAATATGAAACCACAGACAGCCTCCAGCTAGTTTAACTTAGCACATAGACCAGAAACCGGCTTAAATAGCGACCTGTCCAAAAATAATCAACTTCGTCCACTATCACTATCAAAACTCTTAAACTGCATGGCATATACATATGCCTTTTATGTACAAAAACAAATAAAAAAGAGCATATAAGCAATACATGATGGATTTATGGAAGACTGTGTGCTGTCTTAGCGCTCAGTCACACTGGCCTAGAGACCCGTCGCCAAGCATCTGGCAACCATCAGGAAAAATGTGCATTCCCCTGGTTGTCAATAGTAAATGATGGCTGCTGGCAGTCACTTTGAAATCAAATGCTAAAGCTCCACACAGTTGTCAGTGACCCACCCTGGTAGCTACTGGTCATCAGAAAAAAAGGAAAAATTCAGTTGCTGGAGGTTGTTGGCATTTGCTAACCTGAAATTGGTCACATGAACTGGTGAAAGAGGTGTATATGGTGCTGAACTGAAAAGTTCCTTGGAACTGCTGTTGTCACCCAGTAGTTTGCATGGGAGACGCCAACTTGTCTGCAGACACAAACTATTCACCAAGCAGTGGAGAATGTTTTCCTTCGAAGAAAATCTGTGCCTTTTGGGATGTGTTGGTTGCAGCGATAAGGACAACTTTTACTTTGAAGACAAATGGTCTCCGTTTCCAGTTTGCATCACACTGTTTCATTTTAGCTCAGAGAGGAATTAGCAAGTGTTCACAGACAAGTTAGTGTCTTCCATGCAAGCTACAGACAACAAAGGTGGGAATCTGCTGCCATCCAAAGGATTTGCAACGGGCCTTTCAGTGCAGCATCATGTACATCTTTGTGATCCATTTCATGCTAGTGACTGGCAGGAAAATCCGAAGAAATGATCCACAACTAGTCAGGAGGTGCACATTTTCCCCCTCATGATCAGCGGCTGCCAGATGGTCGCCAACAGGTCTTTCGGCCTGTGTGACTGAGGCCTGAGACATAGCAAGCACATAAGGGTATCAGGAAGGACATCTGTGGCAAAATTCTGCACCTGAGCAATAGGCAGATCCAGCCGATGTGGGGGCTCCACAGGAAATAAGGGAGCAACATTAAGTACCTACTGCTTGCTGCTTCATACCACATGACTCGTGACTCATGTAACAGTTGTTCTTTGGTCTCAGTTAAAGTCTCTCTTACAAAACAAAACAAAGTGGAAAAACAATCATCAGCTGAGTTGCTTTTAAAATTATTAAGCTAAAGTGACAATGACGACTTTCCACTGTGTCTCCACAGTCTTGCCTGTAATTTTTTCACAATAATGTTCAACAAGTACCAGTGAAAATGAATCACTGCCAAGTTCGTCAAACAGAAAGACATTTTTTCAGGGAAAAATGCATTTAACACAAGAACTCCCCCTTAGCTCTACGTACTCTAATTGCATCAGTCTCATTAAGACTCTACATTTATATTCACAAAAGGTGCCCATGCTAATTAAAAAAAGGTTTGCAGCTCAGGCATACATTTCATCACAGTTACTCGCAGTCGTTATAGAAGCTGCACTCAGAATGCCTTTTAAGTTCTCCTGCAAACTTTCAGCATGGGATCAGCTGAGGGCAAACGTCTAGACAGGGCTTTGTTTAAGGTGCAGGTGATTAGGCAACAGAGAGGAATGGAGCTACAGTATGTTATTCCCCTGGCTCTCATTGAGTCTCCTGGGTTGTCTAAATAAGGTCTGCGGATGCTTTATGCTACGAGGGTGCCTACAGCTTTTGCTCGCCCGCTACTGATCACAACATGTCAATCTAGCACACACCTGGTAAATGTCACTCAGCATTCTGCCAGCTGCAGCTTCACTTTTTTCATTTTTGTGTGTGCAAACAAGCATGTCAGCCGTATGAGCATTCATCCCAGCGCCGCCTCTGTTCATGCCTTCTCTGCCACTGCTTGCATTGATATTGTAATGTTTGTGACATCAAGTGGACAAAGTTGAAATTGCAGGTCTCCTTCTCCACTGCATGAAAGCAAAAAGATATTTTGTTCACATCCCTGTGGCACAACGCTGCTCAGTTATTGTATGCAATGCCTTGATTCTTGCCAATTAGCACTTCAAGAATGCATGCTGTGCTCCAGCTTAGCAGGTGAATTAACAAGCGTTGACTGAAAAAAAAAAACACCACCTCCATTCACCTCGATGCCAAAAATATAAACCTGATTTCTAACACTGCTTTAATTTCTGATTTTTACCAGGTCAACACAATAGAACTCTCAAAAGACAAAAAAACTGTTATGCATAATCTAAATCATTTCTCTTTCTTTTCCTCCTCAACCTCAGTAGCATATCCTGGGTCTACCCTGGGGCCTCCCCACAGTTAGACA